CCGGTAAAATTGAAATAGGCCGATAGTTCTCACATTGTCTTTTATCGCCGGATTTAAATATTGGCGTAACACGAGCACGCTTCCATTCATCTATATATACGCCTGTTGCAAGCGACAGATTGAAGATGAATGTCAACGAGGGTGCAATTATGTTTGCAGATAATTTTAGAATTTTAGCAGGAATTTTATCAAGACCTGTTGCTTTACATGCTTTTGGGCCTCTTAGGGTCGAGGCAACACTATCAACGGATATTGGAGATACTTTAAAAAAAGTATCTGAGGATTGATTAATATTATAGTTTATGGGCTGATTATCAACATTACTACATGACTCGTCTACATATTCTGCTGCTAGCCTCGACCCAATACTAATGAAATAGTCATTAAATGCATCTGCAATAGATTTAGGATCCGAAACTAACGTGCTGTCAACCAGCAGCTCATTCACATTGTTGGATTTGTTATTCTTTTCCAATAATGAATTAATTAATTTCCAAGTCTTTTTAGGGTCATTCATTACAGAGCAATCAGTGATTTTATCATGAAAATATTTTGATTTTACATTTCGCATTTCAACATTCACTTTATTCCGCAGAAATTGAAAACTTTCCCAATGTGGCTGTGAGGAATGTTTTATTGCATATTTTTTATAATAGTCTCTGTTTCTCATCATACATTTAATTTCCGGAGTAATCCATGGGACCGAGTTCCCCTTTACTCGCTTATTTCGAATCGGCGTATGTATATTTAATATCTCATTAAAGAAAGATTTCCATACCCTCCAGCATTCGTTGGGATTATTATATTGATTAATTACATGCCAAGGCATTCTGGCTAAATCCCCAATAAAATATTCAGCATTAAAATGTTTATAATCCCTAACTTCTTTCACATTAGGTTTACGTTTTGGAAGGGTGAACTTCCTGACCACATAAATCAAACTATGGTCAGACATCCCCAGATCTATTACATCAGACGTCGAAATGTTTTCTTTAGCATTAGTTAAGACCAAATCAATCAAGGTCGCCGAGGTGTTGGTCTCTCTTGTAGGTTTATTAATTAATTGGTCAAGTTGATAAAGAGAACACAAAAAGTTTAATTGTCGTGTATGGGCATCTGGTGAGGTTTTCATAACATCGCAGTTAATATCACCAATTATAATCAATTCCTTATTTTCAGACTCGCATTTTTGAAAAAATACATCACAATCATTAAATAAGCTCAAGTTTGACTTCGGAGGCCTATACCATGTGCAGACAAAAAGCGACTTGCTAAAGGGGCGAGTAATTTCAGCACACAGCATCTCAAGACGATCGGGCACCAAGTCATTCCTATCCAAATAGGATAGGTTGTCTCTGATATACAACACCACACCGCCTCCCGCCCTATTACGGTCCTTTCTTATCAAGTTAAAACCAGGGATACTTATTTCCCCATCCATTACAGAATCATCTATTTTGGATTCATTAATAGCAATTAGGCATCTGTTATTTAAATTTCCTCAATGTGTTTCAATAAGCTATTGACATTTATACTAGCAATTTTTAGGCCTTTTAATCTAGCGACGCAATGCATTAGGATGGATAGAATAGGATAAAACTTTATTTGACTACGCTGGCCACTTCAACCATAGCTGCTTTCCAAGTGGGGCGTAGATAAATGTTACAAAAATATATAAAATACAAAATCACTAAGAAAATTAAGAACTACGAATACAAATACATATTACAAAACAAATGGTATACAAAACTCAAATAGCTAATTCGTCAGACTAACAGAGGAAATATTTCTATTGAAAGAATTTAAAGATTCGCTGTTTCTTACTTGTTCAGGAATGCTATTCCAGATTTTAACCCCACTATATCGAAAACATTTTCTGCCATACTCAGTATTTGGTCGTGGCAGAAAGAGAGACGAATTTGAACCTCGTAAATTATAACTGTGGATATGGTTAGAATTCTGGAACATTGATGAGAACCTCGATGGTGCCAGATTATTGACAACCTTAAACATGAGACGGGCCATATTATGTTTTCGCCTTTCTTCCAAGCTTATCCACCCTAATTGATCGAGGGCCAGTTGAGATTGCCCAGGCTCATCTTTAAAGTTCATTATAATTCTAGCACATCTGTTGTGAAGTTTTTGTAGTCGTTCAGACTGGCCTCTATTAATGGAATTCCAAACTTCACAACAGTAGTCGAAATGGGGTTGGACAAGACCATAATAGACCGACTTCAAAGTATCAGAATTAGTGAAATCCTTTATCTTTTTCATGGCACTTATTCCAGAAGATATTTTTTTAGAAATTTGTTCAATATGACTGTCCCAAGTTAAAAATTGATCAATTTTGACTCCAAGAGTTTTTGTAACTTGAACCCCTTTAATTGGTTCATCTCCAATAAAAACACGCGGTTGTTCTTCTAACGTGTTAATATTGTGGCGTGATCCAATCAAAAGATATTCCGTTTTGACAAGGTTAAGAGAGAGCCTGTTCGATAGAAGCCATTCTCTGATATTATTGAGATCGACATTAACGGCCACCTCCGCTTCCTTAATTGATTTACCGGACACTGTAATGTTAGTATCGTCGGCGAACATGCGTGCTGTAGAGTGTTGTAAACAATTCGGCAAATCATTGATATAAATTAAAAACAGAAGTGGACCCAAAATTGAACCCTGAGGAACGCCATATTTTAGATATTTTAGTGTGGAAAGTTCCCCATTTACTTGACATTTCTGAGATCGATCTGATAAGTACGATTTGAGAAGCATAAGAGGCGTGTTCTTAATACCATATAACTCTAGTTTAGCCAGTAAAATGTCGTGGTTTACCGTGTCAAATGCTTTTTTTAAATCGAGAAAAACGGCAAGATTATACAAACCACGATCCATATTAACATACCACTCATCAGTACAATCAAGCAAAGCAGTGGACGTGGAATGAAAGCGCCTGAACCCAAACTGCTGTTCAGACAATAAATTATTGGTAATAAAATATTCGTATAACTGTTCATACAAGATCTTTTCAAATATTTTGCTGATGACCGGCAAAATTGATATTGGCCTATAATTGTCTAAAACGGAGCGTGAACCCTTCTTATGAAGCGGTATAACTCTAGCACTTTTCCATTCAGAGGGGAAAATTCCCATCCCAATAGCAGAGTTAAACAAATTGGTCAAAGATGGTGTAATTACAGAAGCAGATTTTTTTAGAATTTTAGCCGGTATTTTGTCACATCCAGTAGATTTAGAAATAGACAAATTGTTAAGTAGCCTAAAAACCTGTGATTCGTTAACAGGATGCAAAGTAAATTCCAAACTAGTATTTAGATTATCACTCATATGCCTGCCAAAATTTAAATTCTGAGTGTGTTCAGAGCAGGAGTCTCCAATTTTACCACCAATACTTGTAAAATAGTCATTAAGACAATTAGCCATTCTCATAGGAGAAGTAATTGTATCATTTCCTAGCTTTAATTCGTTAATCATTGTGTCCTTCTTTTTTCTCCCAAGGATATCATTAATCGTCCTCCAAGCCTGTTTTGGATTGTTTTGATGTTTGTCAAATTTGCTTTTGTAGTAAACTTTCTTAGCTTCACGCATTGCAATGTTGACATTATTCCTATAATGTTTATACTGGCTCCAATCTTCACTTAAATCCGACAAAATTGCTTTTCTTTTCAAACGGTCCCTTTCAAACATTTTGTTTCTGATATTCCTAGAAATCCATGCCACAGATGTTTTATTTCGTACCCGTCTTTCCCTAACCGGGGCATGTTTATCAAGAACAGTTATAAAAAGATTTTTCCAACATTCCCATTTATTATCAATATCAGTTTCTCTGTCAACTAAATACCATGGTAAGTTTATAAGGTCGACTTTGAAATTCTCAACATTGAAATGCTTGAAGCTTCGAAATTCGACTTTTTTGCTAGCGTGAGGTTTAAGATATGAATTAATTTTTCTTACTACATAAATTAAACTATGATCACTCACTCCCATATGAATTACATCATGAAATGCAATTCGCTCAGGACAGGAGGTAATACAAACGTCTAGTAACGTAGAAGACGATTCCGTAATCCTTGTAGGCTTATCGATTACTTGTGTAAGTTGATAAAGTTGCATGATAGAATGTAAGTGTTTAGCAGAAGAGTTGGACTGGTCTAACAGATTACAGTTTAGATCTCCTAATAAGTAAATTTCCTTGTTCTCGTTATCGACATTCTTAAGCAAAGATTCAATTTGTGAGAAAGATTCGACGGTTGCTGACGGCGGACGATAAATAGTAGAAACGATAAAGGAACGAGAGTTGGGCCGGTTAATTTCCAGACATACTGTCTCTAAATTTTCCGGCACTAAATCACCACGATTTAAATATGATATCGTCCGCCTAATGTAAAAACAGACACCGCCACCGTGTTTGTCCCTATCCATGCGAACTATATCATATCCGTCAATATTAACAAATTCACTTGTTAATCGGAGCACTAAAACACACGTCTGTTCACTACGAAACGTATAGAAACGTTTTTAAAGGTTAAAGGTTTGTGTAAGGTTTTAAATGGCGGCTTTTATTTAAATAAAAGGGGTAATACTCGCCGAGATATTTATATTAGAAAAAATTGGGTAGTAATGTAATGCGAAACGGGTTGGACGATGAAAAAATATAAAAAAATAAAACAGCAGGAAAAATCACGCACCTTGTCAACTTTTGGCGACAAGCACGCTCGTGCCAGACCTTTTCCGCATCACACATCGATCAGCGCGACATCAGCGCGTTGCACCGCCCTATATATAAACGCCCTGATTAACCTTAATTTTAATAGTCGATATATTTGTTTTAGAAGATTGTAATCAAAACGTTGAGAATTGGTCGTTCGTCGAACGAAAATAATGTATCCTCTCATATACAGATATATGTCGTACGTATATCGCTTTCAGAATCGATTATCATTCATTTTTGGTAAATGCTGCATACATAAGAGTGACGAGGTATTTTACAAAAATGCAAAACTTACCCCATAAGTAATACGTGTATTTGTAACATGATTACCCAACTTTAGTTCGTTAACTATTACATTAATTATATTTACAATACAAGATAGACATTTATCGTAGTGTATCTTTCCCAAATCATGCCGTGAGGTCGATGTCAGAGTTTTATCATCCTGGATCGAAGAAAGTCGTGACGCATTTGTAAAAAAAGACAGGAATTGGCTGCAACAGTAGGCAAATATTTGTACTGCATTTTCTGACTTTTCTGATAATTGGACATCTGAATTTTCGGTTTGTTTTGCACTTTCCCATACCAATACGAAGTCTCTGATAACGTCTTGAAAAACAGTGTTTAGAGTAACTTTTGACAATTTCTGCACAGTCTTAGTTATTGCCGCACAGTTTGCGGATAGCTGATTTACTTTCTCGAATAGATCCATCGCTTCTTCATAATTTGTAACACCTTCCAAAAGATTGACCTTGGGCATGAAATACATCGGAAGTTCCCGTTTCAACATCGCCTCTGCCAGCTCTTGAAGCAATAAGATAAGGTGAGTAACAACCGTATCTTCTGAAAAGGAGTCTGGTGCTGTCTTCTCGAAATACCAAAATGCAATGGTTTTCAGATGATACGTTTTAATCACTTCCTTTATGTCTGGACCCCAAGAACTTTGATTGTATTTAACAACAGCTTTAAAAGATCTCACTACTTTATGTTGGAGTGGTGACAAGTGCGTTATTAATGAAGTTTCAGCAAACGAAAATGACAAACGAAAATCTCCTTCTGTCGAACTCTTGGGAACAATATAAAATCCATTTTGCGCTATTTTCGTAACCAAATCTTTGTCAGGCCACATTCGTTCACGTGTAATCCATTCGTTGGCACATGAAGGCCATCCATCGCACGACAATGCTAAAACAATGTCACTAGATGGCAGAAGTTTATATAAGATTTTCCCAACAATTTGGAAAATTACATTACTTATATCCGAGCCCGAAATCGTTTTGTTATGAAGTGCATCAATCAGCGACCTCATAGAATCAGAATTGACGATTGGAGTACAATCCGCCGGTTTTTCGTTATCTACTGAAAAAGCTGCACTATCTGGCTGACAGTGTACGTGACATTGCAGGTCGCCTGAAAGAGGGCGAAAAAGATTTCCAACATTGGAATAGTTTTGACATAATTTCTCTTTCAGTTTGAATGATGAAAGACGATGCTTCTTCGATAAATTATCCGAACTATCGTGCAAGAAATCTTTCCATAATTTGGCACATACTTCGTCTGTAATGTATGCATTAACAAATGGTGTATCGTCTCTTACTCTCAAGTTACCAAACAACTGGTCTCGTGTACTGAATTTAATCGTTTTTAGAACGCACATAAAGTCCACATCCGGTGGCGTGATCTCTGTCGATAAGTCAAAATTAACCAAAAGACCTTCACTCCAGCTTCCTGAAACTAAAGCATCTTCAAGTTGGAAAGGCCCCTGATTGTCAAAGTATTTCGCTAAGTCTGTTTGAAAAGCAAACCGGTGCATTTCTAAAACAAGTTCGACAACCTTGAGAGGGAAAACTGTCGACAGGAACTGGGAAATTACAGATGAATTATCTACATCTCCAATTTCCATGATTCCACATAAGTTTTTATACCACAGGTCTTGAATTGAAGGCTCTCCCATTGCGGGTGTCCACACTCGTAATATGGCATCTTTTAAATTACTTCGATCACACCCAACCTCAGCCATTTCATTTCATAACTGCTAAACTGAAGAAAGATGGGCGAAACGTTGTTAACCTATTTTAATATTTAATTTATTATTATATAGGAAGTTAGCGGGAACGTATGACGCCATGGCTGCATTGTTGCCCAGCTACTTACGTTCACGAGAAATGTCCATACAGTACTGTCCAGAAATAACCTAACAGTGCGGTTGCGGCTAGGTTGCGGTTATAGGTCGCTATCAGGTTGCGGTTAGGTCGAGGCATAGGCGTACCGGGTGGGGGGGGGCGGTAGCCCCTTGGGCAGTCGGGCAATATTCGATCAACAGTCGGGCAATTTTGGTTCGGAATAAAAAAAAATGGGACAAATTGTGTAAATTTTGTCTAAAATTAAGTAAGTTTGGTGGCCAATTTTGTGTTTTTTGGAAAATTTGTCTTATGTTCCGAAAAATTTTGGTTGTCCGGAAAATTTTTTTGACCTCTAAAATGGTACACTGACCGAAATTTTTTTGGCGAGGGGGGGGGGTGGGGGGAGGTGGCCATGAGTTCTAATGTAACATAGGTTTCAAAAGATGTTAGCCGATCTTGGATTATCAGCTCTTCGAAAATGCTGTTTAAACAAAAATAAGCCTGTAATTATAAAACCTTTCACTGAACCGGAACATAACTAATCTCCGTGAAATAAATTAATAAACATAATCGAATGTCACTACCTCTATATATATGTAGTATACGTATATATTATACTGTGTGTATTATACTTTTGCTTCTTGTTTTATGACCTTTTATCACAGCGTCCATAGCTATAACATATATACATTAGCCAAAGGCTGCGAAAAGCTGAGCAAAATTGATTCGACTACGTCACCAGCAAAGCGTTTTCGCCTAGTATCAGTGAAATATTCCTAACATTTTTAATGACAGAACCTTTTAGGAACGTACAGTATATTTATAAATACTAGCCTATTTCCGTGATTTCCAATCGTAAACTGCTATTAAAGGCAGAAAAAATGGCGGAATTGTATTCGATACTGTATTCGTTACGCGGTAGTAAATCTAAAGCGCAGTGACTTGAATTCTAGTTTACTAATATGATAAATCTTAGCGCCAAAAAGTCCACCAAATCGGACCAGAAATTTCACAGAAAAGTGGTTATGTCAATGAGCATTCAATGCATGACATCGTGGTCTTAGTCAAAAATTTTTCGAGCTTTATTTCGACTTATTTGTGGCGAATTAGACTCATATTACAGGTTTAAATTAAATAATTCTTAATTTTGCTAGGGTCACCTGATATTTTTCTCGGGCCTTTAATAACCTTCTCTTAATCTCGAAGTTCTACTAGAAAATCAAAATCTGGCTACTATATCTTAAACATGACCACTTGACTATAGTCTATCAAGATTTGATGGTCTGGGAACTAAACAGATTGAAGTCATTTTACTATTATTCAGGCAGATAGAGGAACAAAATTTTGGAAAAGTTTATCGTGGGACAATTCCATCTTTCCTTCTTATTGTGCCCTGAAGGCTAGTAATTAAGTTTCTGTATTTTGGCCGCGTTAAAATTTCTCGCTGTGGGCTCCTACACTCTAAAAAAAGGTGTGTTAATTTAAGACACCTTTTTGTTCAAATTTTAACACACCTTAAGGTGTGTTTTAAAGCACACCTTAAGGTGTGTTTAACACAGCTTTTGGCGTGTTTTGTAACACAGCTTGAGGTTTGTTTAACACACCTTAAGGTGTGTTAAACACACCTTAAGTTGTGTTCTAAAACCATGCACCTTAAGGTGTGTTTTTGGCTTGTCCAGATTTTAACACACCTTAAGGTGTGTTTTGTATAAAGGTGTGTTTTTGAGCACACCATGGCGTGTTTTCGTACACACCATGGCGTGTTTTCATACACACCATGGCGTGTTTTCATACACACCATGGCGTGTTTTAAAACACACCTAAAGCTGTGCTGTACAACACACCATTCAGGTCTGTAATGTTTACAGCACGTTGTAAGGTGTGTTTCATAACACACTAAGGTGTGTTACATAACACACCTACAAAAGATGCTATATAACACAGCAAACCTAAGGTGTATTAGAAAACACATCTACATATTCTTATTAAAAGTAAAATGACATTAGAGACATGTTCATTTGCACAGAGTTTATCCATGACAAAATATTTATTTGACACTGACTAAATTACATTTCACATAGCTGACTATGTACTTTTACTATGTACTTTTACTAAACCAAACTGTAACAGACAACTTCTCATTCTGATGCAGTGTTCTGGCAATTAGAGTAATGGAGTACTATATTAATTGTCTCGTACTTTATAGCCATGCAATTGTCAAAATATTGCAAGCCCACATCTTTCACAATCAGAATACCTGTCATATGAAACACTGTAGATAACTTGCATCCAATCATTCCATCTTTGTATCATTTTCTTTATCGCTCGGTGAACCACAACCTTTGAATCACATAGCCAAGTTTAACCATATTTACAGGTAGTCGTATCAATCCAACATACAAGCCTGTGTCAAGATAAGTAAAAAATTAATATACAATGGGACAATCTAACAGCTTAAGTTTATATATAACATATGTAATTAAGTCATTTAACCCACTAGCACGCAGGACTCTCTTCTTGATGACTAAAATTGTCTGGCGTTCGACAGAGTAAAATAACAAAGGCGGGTCCATTTGGGTGCATTTCGGCCTAATGGGTTATCAAGGCACATTGGCAGATAGTTTGGATAACCATTAGTGAGCAGGACACTGCTCTTGAGGAGTAAAATTGTCTGGCATTTCACAAAGTAAAATGTCTGGTGTTAGATAAGTGCAAC